TTTTTGGGTTTGTCAGGGATTGGGAGTGATTTCTAATAATTTATTCCATTTCTTCCAAGAATTTTCCATTTTTAAAGCAGTATCTACTCCTTTGCCTATAGAAATATATTTTTGAATTCTGTAGTGATCTATAATAGCATTTTTTAAAGCATGAATTGATAGAGTTTGTTGCAAGCATCTTGATCTATAGATATACTGTTTCATTATTAGTAGAATAAGGTTATCAGTTGTATAGTAAGTACTTTTATAGTTATGCATGCCAAAAATGAAAGTTTACTTATTAAAAGAAAATGGAATAAAAATGAGTCTAATAAAAATTCAAAGTTCTGAAAAAATGACTGTACTTTTTCACACTCCCATAGCATATGAACTATCGTTTCTATTTCTGTTTTACAAAAAAAGCAGTATGGAGTTTCTAACAATCCTATCTTAAATATATGCGAATTGGTTGTTAAAATGTGATGATTTATTCTATATTGTAACCAGTGTAACTTAGAATTTTTTGAAACTTGAAAGGGTGTTTTATATATATAACTCCATGTTTCGTCATCTAGATTAAATAGTTCATTCCACTTTATTTTACCTGTTGCTGTGATATTATTTTTGCAGAGTATTTTGTAGAAGTCCTTTGACCCTTTAATATTTTTAAAGAAAATCTCAAGATTAAGTGGAATAAAAGGATAACTAACAACATCATTACCTATTTCCTTATGCCTCAGATATTTCTTTACTGCTCTAACTATTCCTTCAAAGGTAAGGAAATTAGTTCTTAAGTTATATTTCTCCATAAATTCCTGATAATTATAAAAAGTACTTGTTTTCAGGTCTTTTATTATATCATTGATAATAATTACCCCCTTCTTATACCATTCTTTATAAAATACAGTTCTATTTTCTATTGTTAAAAATTTACTATGCCAAATAGGTGTTTTCAGTATTGTCCTATTCTCATTTATCAAATTTCCTTCCTTATCATGGAGGGTTTTCCAAGAAGATTTTATTAATTTATTAAACATCTATAATTATACTTTCATCCGTCCTGACAGGAACCGAACACACGGACGGAAATGTTATTTTAGATAACAAAGAATCCATTACCGCTTTGACTCCAACGTAAAAATGACACCATGAGTAATTAATTGACCCCCCCCCCCCTTTAAAAACAATACACGTAGTTATTCAAAAGATCACGGTTAGGTGAAAATAGTGAAATTGAAACGAATTCCAATAAGATGAAAAAGAAGAAAGAAAACCGAAAACATTTATGATATCTTCATACGAGGCATAGATAAGAGAAATATAAAAGCCCAATGGTTTAAGTTATTTTTGTTTTTGTGACTTTGAGACTATCTACGGTGGTCGGTTGGCTCAGTGGATAGCACACTCGCCTTTCACCTAGACAGCTAGTGTTCCATTCCCTGATTGAACCATACATTTTAGGAGGCACGATAGTCTAGTGGTAGGACGCCGGGCTCGTGACCAAAGGGTTACGGGTTCGAGCCACGGCACGACGCTGTGTTATATCTTTGAGCAAGATCCTTTACTTCGCTTGTTCCAGTCTACTCAGCTGTAAATGAGTACGTGGTTGGGTAGTTGAATAGATATTGGCTGGTTGCAAAACCACGGATAATAATTTGTGAACCGCTTTGAGACGAACTAGGTTGTGATAAAGCTGTATATAAGAACCTCAAATTATTATTATTATCATAATTATTATTTTTTCCTCCCACTTTGAGCCGGCCCCCTACTCGCTTCCCTCTGTGCCATTGACAAGAACGATTGAAGTAACTTTCTGCCCACTGTTTGGCATTTTACTAGCTTGAAAAGTATGAGAAATATGGAAACGATTCAGGAGCGTGCACTGAGATTCGTGGAGAGTGATTATGTCTCATATTTTAGTCAGCTTTTAAAATCTACTAATAGTACTCTTTTACACGGTAAGAGGCTTAAAGATATTGGCTGTGAAGTTTTTAAAATACTACACAAGATTTCTCCTGATTATATACTTGATTTGGTAAAACTAAAGGAACCTGCTTATGATCTCAGAAGGGACTTCACAGTCAGCATCCCATCTGTGGAACAGTCCTCCAAACGAATTGCGGAGATGTGGGTCCACACCTGGGATGGTCCCATCTGTACAGATTGATTTTTTTGGTTCTTATTTCTCGTTTTATTACTTCAGAAATATTTGTCATTTACAAGTTTTAGTTCTTAGTGGTGCTTTACTTTCTTTTGTGCTTTTTTTATGCTGTAAATTCCTAAATATTGTTTCATAAATGTATGTGTTGTTGTTTTAGATTATGCTATATTAGCATGTATTCTGTCAATTTTTAATTATGATTGTTATATATAGTCGTAAGAATAGCTCCTCTGAGCTAAAATTGCATTGTTACAAACACGACTCTAAATAAAAAAAGTCTTGTATCTTGTATCTTGTTTCATATAAATGTTGTTAAATAAATAAAATTTGCTCTTTTTATATTATCTTTAAAAACTATTATTTTCAGTTATATTACTTAACTATTATTACTTCAGCTGATAGTTCTTTCATAAAATGAATGTAGAAGGCGGTACGTTTGCGGTGGAGCGGAGCAAGGCGGATTTTTATGAGGCTTTAATTTATAACTCAAAAGAGAGAGGGGAAATTTTGAGTTTGTAAACAAATAACGATAAGTGTAATTTTCAATAGAACTTTCGATGTTCAATATCTGAAAAAAAATCTTAGCCTTATAGGCCTACTTCTCTATTTTTCACACACGTGGCAAAAATCTGCCTCATGACGTTCTGGCAATGTGACGTCATAGTTATATGACGTGATAAAGTCAGGCATTTCAAAATTGAACAACTGACTTGATGCTGGAAGGTCTATTTATAACGTTACAATGTACTGCACTTTACATGATTCATTTCTAAGGAATGTTGATCGTATATTGTTATCCAAGCTGTTGCCTACATTGTTCCTTATCGAACACACCTCCGTATTAAACTCAAATCTTGCCGCTAGAGGACTTGATCATGTGACCTAGCTTATACATGTAACAACAAAAACATGGAGAGCAGAGGATGCTGCAGTGTGTTCGGGACGTTGACTGCGTGAGGTCAGCAACTCTTTCGTAAGCATAGCATCCATGGAAACCATAGATAACGGATAAAATGGAGTCCACTAACGATACCTGTAATGATGCAGCAGAAAACAAAGAGAAACTGTCCGGTTCTCCAGAAAAAATCCGTAAGTTGCATCCATGATTTGGTTTGTTGACATTATCAATGGAGCACCGTTCGCGGTGTATTGCGGTGTGGTTTTCCTATTTATAGCTACAAAGGTGCCATATAGCTTGGCCTAGGTATACGTATGATGCACGACTGGCCAGGGATACTAAGTGTTATTTATCTGCAGGTGTATCAACTGGCCACACATGGTCAGCCTGAGCCAGTGTCAGTCTACATTCCTAGTTAGACTGAACCTGGCGTGTAAACTGCTTAGATAAAGTATAGTATCGTACACTTTAACGCACATTTCACCAGATATCGTCATACATTATATGATCCTTCTGATTATTATTTTGTCCCACTGTCACATGTTCTGTCTTTTGTATTAAAACAAGATAATGACATAGGTTTCACTTTGTTTTCAATATGAACTATACTGTACTGTACAGTATTCTGGTTGATGACAAATAATTATACCTTTGTCTTTGTATCAATATTTCAATTTCTTTTAAAGGTGTATTTTTATTAGTGTATGTACACAGACATATCGAGGTAATACTGGGTAGAGCACCAGTCAGCTAGCATTGGTTATCACCTCTTATTTGCTTTCAATTCAACATTATGTATTATTACTATTACAGTAGCCTATAGATATAGTCAACTGTATATAAATACTCTGATTATATATATAATAAAATTAACTTCTTGTATGTCTTTTTAAAAACACATAAAAACATAATGAAAAAAGTATCTAAATTATTTGATGTCTAAAAAAAAGTAAGTAAATTGGTGATTCACTGGCATAGACGGTTCCGACATATGTGTTATATATATATATATATTTATGTTTACTAAATTTTGATACACTGATGAGCCTTTCATATCCATGTTACATCATTTTCCAGTTGGATTTTATGATTTAAAAAAAATAATAATGTCGGTAATATTTTTACCAGTATAAGGTGGCAGTACCCAAATCGGATCAGTACTCAAATCGGATGACTTTTTGCAAAAATACTTATAAATCAATAAATGTGTCAGCAAATCAGTTATAACAATGATGTAATCTGAGAATAGATAGCCATGCACCATTTTTTGTCTACAGATGATTTGTTTTTAAGTTCAAATAGCACAAGAAAACGTAATACAAACTCAAATGTCAGTGTTTTGATTACGTTTTAAAAAAATGGCGTGTGCGACGACTATGGATTAAGTTTTGGACTATAACAATAAATTCATGCTATAGGAACACTTTTTGTCATATAAAATCTAAAGGTCATCATAAAATGTTTATATGGTGCCAAAAAAATATTCATTTGAAGTGAAGATACTGCAAAATTCAAGCCTTGATCCGATTTGGGTCCTGACATTCGCAAAAACTGGAGACGCTGATTGGTGACTTCAGAGCGTCCTATAAATATCTCAAGTGAGCCCCGGTGCTAATTTTGATTGTAAGAACACCCATTGATGTCCTTCTTTTTCAATGTTAGAGAGTTAACTACGTTCATTGTTCCTGCTGACAATATTTGTATATTTATCTGCTGTTATGTTATTGAGATATTACTTTTCATCTCCAAATAATAGTTATTGTTGATGTAATTAAATTCCAAAAATTTTGCTATCAACATTGTTTTGGAAGACAAAAGATATTGTCGATAGCTAAAAATCTTATATATAATTATTACCAGTAGAAATACCACATATTTATCTAGCCAAATTTCTTCAAATGGAATGAAAAAATGAAGCCAGGAAATTAATTAGAAAAAGAAAAAAAAAACAGAATCTAATGGGAAAATAATGTGACATACTTTTGGCACATACCCAGTACCAGGTAATTGTATGTTTCACATCGAAACTTCTGCAAACAACATAATATTTCTAGTCATCAAGAAGTGGTTTCTGTACGTTGCAAACTTAGATAATGCATTGAGCATATTCTAGTGCAATATGAAAAATATATTTGTTGTAATTAAAATAAGTTTATGGTGAATTTTTATGAATTTGAAAAGATACTTTTTTAATGAAACCTTTAGTTATAAATATTTGGCAATCACTGTTTGGGACCCAGTTTTCACTCAGAGATCTCTTTTTCTTGTGGAGCACAAGAACAAGAATTCTGACCATGAATGTGAATTTTCAGACATTTCAATTGTTTTGAAACCGATAACCGGCTGCAATGTGTAGCTTCCATTATACCACAGACTTAGATAACATAATTCTGTGATTATACATATATAGTTCAAGTTCAAGATATTTTATTAAGTATTTCAAGGCCAACTAGCCCATAGTACAATTTGCACAGTACATAATAACCATATTCACACAATTTTTACATCAAAAACAATTTCTGCAGAGTACCTTATAACGTACAATTTACTAATATATAGCACTGACTTCCGATTTAATAATACTAAATTTGTGATGTCACAGATATAATATAATTTGATCTTGCTTCAAAAGCTAAATATACAAATTTAGCAACATTTCTTAATTTATCTTCATTTCCAGTTATTAACATATATTTTGCTTCAACATAGTTTTCCAATGCCCACATTTGTCTTATATGTTCATATAATGGACAGTGTAATAAAAAATGATATTCATCTTCAATGAGTCTTGTACTGTTTGTATATAAACAGTAATTACATAATCTTTCTTCCCTTGGAATTTTTAGTTCACGACCTTTTTCAATAAATAATTCATGACTGGATACATGCAGTCTAGTTAGAGCAATTTTATGAGACTTATTTGTAATACAATATAAGTATCGTTCGGGTTCAATTAAAGTTTTGACATCCGAGTAAAAATTCAGTTTATTAGAGTTGTTTATTCCAAAATCCCATTCTTGCATACAAGTGTCTTTTACTCTTTGGGTAAACAGTCTCATAAAACTATTTACATCGCCAACTTCATGATATATCCATACATAATGAAATCCATATTTGTACAATAGATCTCTAATATTTGTAGCCCAAGTTACTCTTCCAACATTGTGTAAATTTACTAACATATCATAGCACCTTCGTGGATATCTAGAGGAGTCCATACTTAAAATATTAAACCAATACTTTATACACTTTTTTTATATTATTATACATATATAATGAGCAGTCTGGACAGTGTCCTGATATCTAACTACAGGATATATACAGTTGACCAGCTAACATTCGATGTTGTTCTAATGAATAACTACAGGATATACAGTAGACCAGCTAACATTCGATGTTGTCCTGATGAATAACTACAGGATGTACAGTAGACCAGTTAACATTCGATATTGTCCTGATGAATAACTACAGGATATACAGTAGACCAGCTAACATTCGATGTTGTCCTTATGAATAACTACAGGATGTACAGTAGACCAGCTAACATTTGATGTTGTCCTGATGAATAACTACAGGATGTACAGTAGACCAGTTAACATTCGATATTGTCCTGATGAATAACTACAGGATATACAGTAGACCAGCTAACATTCGATGTTGTCCTTATGAATAACTACAGGATGTACAGTAGACCAGCTAACATTCGATGTTGTCCTGATGAATAACTACAGGATGTACAGTAGACCAGCTAACATTCGATGTTGTCCTGATGAATAACTACAGGATGTACAGTAGACCAGCTAACATTCGATGTTGTCCTGATGAATAACTACAGGATGTACAGTAGACCAGCTAACATTCGATGTTGTCCTGATGAATAACTACAGGATGTACAGTAGACCAGCTAACATTCGATGTTGTCCTGATGAATAACTACAGGATGTACAGTAGACCAGCTAACATTCGATGTTGTCCTGATGAATAACTACAGGATGTACAGTAGACCAGCTAACATTCGATGTTGTCCTGATGAATAACTACAGGATGTACAGTAGACCAGCTAACATTCGATGTTGTCCTGATGAATAACTACAGGATGTACAGTAGACCAGCTAACATTCGATGTTGTCCTGATGAATAACTACAGGATGTACAGTAGACCAGCTAACATTCGATGTTGTCCTGATGAATAACTACAGGATGTACAGTAGACCAGCTAACATTCGATGTTGTCCTGATGAATAACTACAGGATGTACAGTAGACCAGCTAACATTCGATGTTGTCCTGATGAATAACTACAGGATGTACAGTAGACCAGCTAACATTCGATGTTGTCCTGATGAATAACTACAGGATGTACAGTAGACCAGCTAACATTCGATGTTGTCCTGATGAATAACTACAGGATGTACAGTAGACCAGCTAACATTCGATGTTGTCCTGATGAATAACTACAGGATGTACAGTAGACCAGCTAACATTCGATGTTGTCCTGATGAATAACTACAGGATGTACAGTAGACCAGCTAACATTCGATGTTGTCCTGATGAATAACTACAGGATGTACAGTAGACCAGCTAACATTCGATGTTGTCCTGATGAATAACTACAGGATGTACAGTAGACCAGTTAACATTCGATGTTGTCCTTATGAATAACTACAGGATGTACAGTAGACCAGCTAACATTCAATGGAGGAAAACTGAAGTTTTCTTCAAAACATAACCTGACAGGGAGAATCTTTGGATCAATTCAGAAAATCAAATCTTTTTCTAACTCAGTGATCAGTAAACAGTTTCTTGATCTGTATGCAACTATCTTAGAGAGAAAAAATATATCGCGTTCACAACATAGTGTCCGGTGTTTAAATGAAGGAATCTTTCTGGTCATAACTGACACCTATGGGAAAGAATGAACCACCTACTACTAATGGGTGGGGGATAGTTGGGGTGGGGGATAGTGTGGGGGGACTGGCTGATTGACCCACCTACTACTAATGGGTGGGGGATAGTTGGGGTGGGGGA